GATGGAATAATGCACCCTTGGACAGCAACGCTTCCTTTTTTGTTCTCCCATTACTGCACTGCTGATCACACTGGTCTTCCAATGAGGTCTTGCCTTTGAAACAACTCCTCTTCTTTGTCAAGATGCCAGCTAATGCCATAACCTGTCCACGTCAAAATCTGTTGCTCCCAGATTAAACTTCCTCTTCCAGAGACTGCAAGGTCAGATGAAAAACAAGCAGCAGCTGAATTCTGAGCAACCAGCACTCCTCCACAGCCACCGTGCTATCCCAGGAACCACACTGCTGTGCCAGCATCCCTGTGCAGCAAGAGAAGCATGCAACAGCAAACCTGGGAAACAACAAGAGGGAACATTGCTCCTTCAATTAGGAGTGACTACAGATCACTAAAAAAAAAAAAAAAAAAAAAATATCTAAAATCAATCCAGAATCCTTATTGAGGATCATTTCTTCAGACCATCACTTGAAAAACACGATGAATTAATTCTTCAATCAAGTGCAAGTATCTTGAAATTTCTCTTACGGAATTTTTAGTAACAATTTGACCCTTAATCTCAGCAAAATTATATCAGGATTTAAAGTACCAATAAAATATGTTTATGAGTTTCTTTTTGGCTTTCATTGCCTTTTTTCCCCTCACTTCTCTCATTTGTTAACTGTCTTGTACCAGCCTCTGATCTGAGTTCAGCCCGACTGATTAGCAGTGACAGCATGTCAGAGGTCATTACCATTAAGCACACCTCAGTGAACAATTTAATGGAGCTGTTATTCCACCAGTGGCAGCTCTCACAGTCGCGCTTAAGAAAAGCTCCAGATGAGGCTGAGCTAACCTGGAGGCCGGAGCACCCTCTGCTGTCAGCACCGCAGGGTCTGAGCCCAGCAGTTCTGCTGTCTGCCTTCTAGGTGCTCAGGCAGCAGCACGGTGCCACCAGCAAATGCTGCTGAAGGGGAGAACTGAGCACCTCAACCAAAGCTGGTGCTGTATCTCAGAGAAATGTGTGGTTGTGGGAGAGAAAGAATGGCAGAGAGAAGGGGAGAAGGAAGTATAGTTTAAAACACACCCTCAGCAGACTGTAATCCATAGGCTCCACTGAAGCACACTTCTGTTCACACATCCTAAAACGCTACAGCCACCCGTTCCAATGTGGGTGGGTCAGCAGCACTTAGCTCTCTCTCTCCCCATAAATTCCTTGCTGTAAAGCAGGACAATGCTGAAGGTATGATATGGAGTGCTTGCAGCTGCTCAGTCTCTAATGGATCTCTGAATGGAGCTGCCTCCTCTATCAGGTTTTCAGGTAAGCGCAGATCTATGGAGTGCAGGTAATTTAACATGAGATACAGCATTACAGCAGGGATTCCAGGTAACTTACTACAAATGAGCACAGCCCAATTTGGCCTTCTTTCACCTAAGTATAATTGAAGCGCTCTTTCAGAGCTCTTCTGCAGCAAGCATAACCATTTCATATACATTCATGCAATGCTTTAAGTGCTCCTCAAAATCCCCAGCCTCTCCTTTATGACCCTGAAAGCAGTCATGGGAAAAGAGCCCCTCCTGTGCAAAGGGAACATCACACCGGGTGGCTCGTGTGGAACAGAAGTAGCTGCAAGATGGGAAAGTGAATGAAAGCAGCCAAGCGAGGATTGCAGGGGATGCTGCAACAGCACATAAAAAACATGCTTGGGAAAAAAAAGAAATCTATTTCCTACTCCATACTACAAAGGTACTCTCTGGTTGTTAAAAGTATTTTGAGCGAGAAAAATAAAAATGCTTTAAAAATGATGACAGGACTGAATTTCAAACAATGGGGAATTCAGTCTATTAACCACTGAGTTAATCTATTTATTCACTTTGAAAAAATTATGGATCAGGAGAAAGTCTATTAGAAGTACACAAGGCTTCAGCTGCCACCTTCCTCACTGAGTAAGCAGTCAGAAGGTGCCCCTTTGAACTCTGCATTAATAACATTCTCATTAAATGCAAACCTGCACAATGTTATCTTAAAGAGGCTCATTAGCTTCAAAAAAATTACTCATATCAAAAGTTGCTTACTTCCTCAGAGGTGAGAAGGTGAGTTTTCAGAGCCCTAATTGCCAGAGCTTCTCATTTCAGCTTCCTCCGTGCTGCAGCCATATCTTACAGTCCATCATATCTCAATTATTAATGTAAAGCAGAAACAGATAGAAGTTTAAGCACTATTATGGTATAGGACAGCAACACAGATCACTAATTCTAGTGTGGTTTGCAAGATTTCAGCCAAACGAGGTTATTATTCTGTCTTCATCTCCTTCACATTTCCGTTTTCTTTAGGTTGCACAGAAATCATGAAGCACACCTAGAAAGACGCATGGAGATAACACAGGAATACTGCCTGCCATCTCTCAATAAACAGAACATTCATGATTGCTCTTTTTACTGGAGTAAGGACTACAGAAATCAGGTAAGTGAACCAAAGCGTGACTTTGCACTGCACTGGTGCAGCAAACAACCAGTGATCATTGCTTATAAAAACCTTCCAGATCAACAGAACGTGCTGAGGAGAAGAAATCCAATGTGAGAAAGATTCATCTAAAGTCAGTCTTTGTGGTGAAGGCATCCAGTAAGAAACTGTATGCTGATCCCACCCTAAGAGGAAACCAAAGGGGCATAACCAACAGGCCATTCAGTGAGAAGCTACATCAGGTTCAAACCTGCATGTCTTTAACAATGCGTAAGTAAATCTATGATAATATTGTCATGCATTAACATACTCTGCTTCTCCAATAAATCCATCAGCCTGACAGCCTCGTAGGGTTTATTTTTCTCAAGCGTCCTCACTCCCTGTTTCTCTTGGCTGATTTGTGCTTGCAGCGTCTTGGTGTGCAAGACAGAGCCCTAAGTGTGTGTGTGTGTGCACAGGGCTCCAGTGCATGCTCCTGGCCCAGCTGCAGCAGAAGTACACGGCCTGGGCACAAACTCTGCCTAAGGACACTGCTGCAGCCAACAGGGCAGGACAAAATGTTTTTCCCAGCAGGGTCCAGAAAGCTTCAGACCTTGGAAGGCTTTAGGCATTCCTGGAGAAATTGTCTTCTCTTTTTCTGCTGCATGATCTGCAACTGTCAAACACCTGAATTCAGTCTTCAGGTGAAAAAGAAATATTGCATCATCACAATCCCCTGATTTCATACATATTTTCCTTTTTTCCCTCCCCACACAAGTAGAGCACCTTTGAATTTCCTCATCTTCCAAGAACTGGCTGCTCTGAAATACACTCAGTTAAAGAACCCTTTACATTTTTAATTATTTAACATGAGAAGTGAAAAATCAAGCAGTTTTTTTTTTTTTCTTAAGGGGTAGGGAGGTAGGAAAGGGGATAAGTGAAACAGGCTAACTTCTCTAAAGCCTAATCCCTCTTCAGGTCTCAAGTTATCTCTAATGAAGACCTTGCCTAATCTGCCTGACAAAATTAGTCATTTATGAAAGCGTCAAAGGCAAGTGAAAGACCAGATGAAATTTTAATATCCATAAGTAGTGAGGCAGAGCAAGGGAGTCTACAAGAGAAAGATGTTAGAGGCTCTGCTGCTTCCAGGCAGCACCATGCACTAGCATGTCTGAAGCAAGGTAGTCAGGGAGGGCTGCCACAATGCCAGCTTTCTGGGCTGTAACCCTTCTCAGTTACATGACAATCCTTACAAAACCAGTTGTGAAGCTGGCAGTAAATGAGCAATCATAAAACCTTAGCTGCATAAAGCAGAGGTGAGTGCAAACCTTCCATGATCACTTGCTGGGCTGTTTTTGTTGTTTTTATCATTTTATTTTTTTTAAATCTCTTCCCAGTTTAGACTTCTCTCCCCGTGTACACAGAGAATTCCCATGGCAGATACTGTCTCATTAAATGACATTACTTTGCCAACAGCTATCTGTTCTGCTGCTTCATTCAGGGTACATTATCTGCTCACAAGCGCTCATTTACGTCTGTTTACAAAAAAATAAAAATAAAGACTGGAAAAAAATAAATCATTTGGAAATATACGTGACGTTATTAAGCTTACAGACTTACTAGGGGAACCTTTAAGGCAGTTTATAGACACTGACTGACTTGAAGGATGTCTTCAGAGAGCCTGCTCTACACAACCTCTCTTGGAGTGAGGAAAATGACAAGCATTAGCAATATAGCAGTACTAAGCTACTTGGTGTTACATAGAAAGGCAGCACACCTCATGGAAAGATCATCTAGGAAATTAGAAGCGATGGGCAGACGCTTTTTGGAATAAATACTCATTTCTTTTCTGTTTTTTTTTTTTTGTTGTTGTTTGTTTGTTTTTTTTACAAGCCAGACACAAAGTAAATTTCTTCTCCCTTTCTTCCATTTTCCAATCAGATCTACAAGCCACTTGTCCCAGCACCTCATGCTCCAGCTTTGTCAGTACAAGCGGCTTTAGAAGACACAAAATTAATGCTGCTACAGAGGAACAGAGAACAAGAACACCTCAAATATTCCCTAGCCTCACAAGTAGAGTATAACTTCTGCCTTTGAACGAGAAGGAGAGTTTTAAATAAATAGTAAAATGTCTCTGAGTGATCAGCTTTAAACATGCACAAAAATCCTGTAATTTTAAGAGAGGCTTGGAATCTGCTCATTACAGCTGCCTCATAGTCCCCTCTTCATACCTTCACAGAATTGCAATAGAATCACACAACAGAAATCCATTAGGACCACAATTGTCCTGACAGCACAGCATTGTTCCCTACTGCATAACTTCTCCCAGGGATGCTGTGAGGATTAATTCATTACAGCTTGTGTTATGCTCTGAAATAATTCAGTCTACAGAAGAGAATCACTAGGAAAAGGACAGTCAGAGTCTGGTGACCCTCTTTTATCCCAGTGGGCCCTGCTCAGAGCAGCAATTTCGCCCAACAAAGCAAACAAATTCAAAACCAGGTTCAATACAACAAATGTCATTATAAGAATGTAGTCACACAGGACAAAAATCTTGAAAATGGTTATTAACTTCTACTCCTTACCTAATATTGACTAATGCATGGGTCACCTTGCTTGCAGGCTCTTTCCACTGACCAGCATTGGTAGAAATCCTGAGAACTGAAAGGAAAAGACAGTTAGTAATACTGGCACAGAACTGGCCATTTTCTAATCCAAAACACCTAAAATCTGGTTTGGTGAGATGGCAACCTACAAATCGTATGAGAACAAAGATCATCCTTGTGACCATCTGTACAGCAAAGCAGAAGTTCCTTTAAAGCCTATCTAAGAAAATTAAGGAACACAGAAGACGTGTACAGAACACCAGGACACCTGGGAGGCAGGAAGCAGAGGGGACAGAGACTCCATCTTCCTGACTTATTTCATCACCACATATTAAAGCTGCTCTCACTCAGAAATAGGACAGCATCCCAAAGCTGTGATACCCTTTATTTCACACACTGCTATTCTCCAGCTCCTACTTATGCAAGGTTTCACTTGAGCTACACTCTTTAATTTAAACCTAACCCAAGAGCAATGGGTTCTTTACTTCCATGTTTATCTTGAATCATAGAGAGAAATTACACACTAGCCTAGGGAAAAACTCTCCCTGTAGGAATGAATGTGTTGCTCTGTTGCACAGATGGTTTCTGACAGACTTGGGAGCAGATCTGAAAACATTCTGCAGGAGGAAGAACTTCAAGGGAATCCATTTTTTACTGCTAGAACACCCAAAATATTTACTTAGGCCAGAGCCTGTAGTGTTCCTATGGTGGCAGTTACCTGCACATCTTTTGTTAAGCACCAAAACAATAAAGCAGTAGCAAGTGTGGATCGTTTTTCTATTTGCCTGAATAGAAATTAATTCTCTATGAATTTATATACAATGTTTTCTAGGATTAGAAGTGACAGAATAGCACTTCATTCAAATATAGGATCATCTAGAAACACAGGTGCAATAGTGAATCTGAAAGCACAGTGGCTGCACTCTCATGCTTATTATTGCATAAGAGAAGCTTTCAGTCTTTGCATATCTGGATAAAGTTCAGATTCATAAAAAGAAAAAGAAATTATACATATATAGATAAATAAAAGCATATCCCAACATACAAAACTTCAACTACTTTCACAAAAAAAAAAAACAACCCTAAAGGATAAAGCTTATCTGTGTTAACAAATGTCCAAAGACTAAGGGATAGAAGGGTGACTGTAGTCCCAGTACGAGGGTTAACAAAGCTAAGGGAAGCTGCTAGGGCACCTGGCTAAACTGTGGCTTCACCAGCGTGGACAGTGCTATCTTCTCACTTTCCTCTGCTACAATTTTGTGCCATGTGCAGAAAAAAAAAAAAAAGATGTCAGCTCTAGATAATATGATTTTGTCAAACGGAAGGTGCTGCACTTAAATACCTGAAGTAATGCCTGAATGGAACTCTGCATACATCTAGGATGTTAATTCAAAGGAATTTTTTCTATGTATCAGGATAGAAAATAGTCACGATACGTGAAATGTCCACACAGGTCAGATGTGCCTGTACAGCCCAATTGTATTTGAGAGCATTATTCTTCCATTTCACTTTCCTTCAGCTTCCACAGGGGACCGGTTTGAAAATGCCACTGGCTGGTAAAATCACCTCATCTTACTAGCTGCAATTTTGCAAGCAGGAAATAAGTTAGCAAAAAATTTTTTGTGCTCAAAGAACAAAAATGGCCATCTGATCCCTTCTATAAAGGATGAAAATCGTAGGAAGTTTATACAAAAAGGCAGTTCATTTTGCTGGAAATTGCAGGGAGTATGTGGTCCCTTTTATTTTGGTGTGGACAACTGTCCAAGCCAGAATAGTGCTGCAGCTAACTACCTCTGTCCCACTGCCCTTCGACTTCCCTTACATGCTTACAGTAACTCTTGTTGCTGGATGGGTGATCACAGTGAAAAGGGAGCAGAGACAGCATGAAGAAAAGTCCTTCTAGAACAAAGCAAGCAAAAGAACACAGCTTTTTCTTCACAGCTTCAAGCATGCAGGCACTACTCAGCCTTGCTGCAGCCACCTCTGGCTACAGGCTCCTCTGTATACACACTGCCTGGTTTTGTCTCCACGAATTCCTTGCTCTCCTTTGTTCCTCTTTTCCCTGCTGGGTTTCACTTGGTGGCATTCCAGCATGTCTCTCTCCCAGTGAAGGATGGCAGCCTCTCCCTGTTTAGCCAGCAGGCACATTCCTCAGTCCAGTGATTTACTTGTCATTGCAAGCAGGTTTGTGAGGACTGTATTCTTGGTTTATGTTGGCAATGACAGCAGTAGATGTGATTTGCCTAGCACAGCAAGCATCTTGTTATAAGTTCCCCAAATTCTTTTCCAAATTCTTGCTTGCTTTGAATACTTGACTATGCTGGCTGGTTCTGCAGCATGTACTGACCTTCTGACTTGAAGCTGCCAGATGTGACAGATGCATACTATAAATCAATCCAACCACTCAAAAATGCATGAAACACCTAATGCCATATATAAATTTGTTGGTTCAATTGGCACTCTTGAATCACAGTAAGTAGATACTAGAAAGGTAATGGGGCTGCTCCTATTTTTTTTTTCTGTCTAAAAATATTTATCCCTCTAACAAATTGATCCTCTCAATTCCTAATTTACCAAACACACCAATACATAAATTATATCCATTCAAGGAGAGAGGCATCAGCAGCAGGTGGACAGAAAACAGCAGACAAACAACCCCCTCAATCACTCTCATTTCAACTCAGTAATATTCCCAACCATCCAGGAGGTACTCACCCATAGAATAAAGGTTGTCAAAATTCTGATGCATCCGAATGATTTCATAATACAGCTCATCATAGCTGCTGGGAGTGGGGAGGAAGGTGTCTCCGTAGGTGATGAACATGTTGAAGAGGTTCACAACCTATACAAAGAAGTGAAAAGAGGTTACAACAGGAATGTTTCCACAAAAGCTACACTGCTACAGGAATAAACAATACAGGCTATCTTCAAAACCTTTAAAGAAACAGCTCTTGGTTCCACTAGCCAGTATTACATTAGTTCATTGCTCTATTATCTTCCTTACAGTACAGAAGAAACACACAAGCAGCTTTAACACTATCATATCTAGGGCCAGGAGAATGGGTCTCTGGTATCTTGTATACAAAGGGACATGAAGTAAGAAAAAACAACATTAGCAAATCTGGAAAATTAGACTCCTTCCTCACACAAGTTTGTCAATTTCAGTGACAAGATCCTACAGTGACTCCAAGCACTGCCCTTTCTAAATATCTGGCAAAACCAACCACAGTGATACTCCTCAGCTTTGTTGCCTTGTTCTAACATCTCCTTGCCATGCCAGAAATCTCAAATCCTTTCCTAACATCCATTCAAAATTAAATTGTTTAAAAGAAGGGGATTTGCTTTGTCTGTACTCACCATTAGAGCAAGGGTGAAGATGTTGTGTTTGGCCAGCAACACGGTTTCATTAGACATGAGGAACTTCAGCAAGTTGATCAAAGCTAGGAGGAAATATGTATTTTTTTGATAAAATTAAAAGCAAATTCATTCTCAACAAGTCACTTAAATAAAGATGCATTTTCATTACCCAGTACCAGCTCACCTAAATGCAAGCTGCTCACTTTTCATAAATTTATCAGTCAACCAACATGGAGTTGGTTAGGTATTTTCTTGCTAAAATTCTGGGCTGGGCAGGTAAGTGACAGCTATTTTAGCGTCCCACATTTATTTTCCTTCACTGACTTCCTAATCAAATTCGCTCAGGCTCAAGGTAAGTCACTTGTTAGCTCATTCTACCTGCCAGATCTTCAAGTGAGCCTTAGAGCTGGAGAATCCGACCGTCTCCTTTCTGCTTCACACATCACCAACGTGATGTATGCAGTCAGCCTCAAACTGTCACTCCTGTTGATACACGCGATTTTAAAATGACAAAAAAATAACAAAAAGAACCCACAGCATTGCTTTTCTGTAGCTGCTGCAGCAGCACAAGGACGGATACAGTACTTTATTGTGTCAGCTATCTAGGGCTGTGCCGTGAAGGCTACAGATCTGGTTCACACTTGTCTTGAGAAGGAAAACAAAGGCTCCTGCCGTAACCACCCAGTATCAGTTAGTGATAGCAGGAATTAACAAAAAGGTTGGCTAAAAAAGCTTTAATCACACAGACTTTACAATAAGCCACTGTGTTCTATACACTGGAGTGAAATGGAAATTTCTTCATCTTGTTGCTTCCCGTTCTTTAAAATTTCAAAAAAGAAAACTACTCTCTTCTCCATGATATCTGCTCAGCACTGAAAGATGATTATTAATGTATCTCTGCTCTGCAGTCAACAGGTTTCAAGACCCGAAGTACCTGAATTAGATGATCTGCAAAGACAAGCTGGAACAATAAAAAGACTTCTTCAAATGTTCCTGATTACCTGCTAATTGGGGCAGCATCTACTGATTTCCTACAGTTAAAATATGATTTTGTTAATCTTCACCTTTTCCAGTTTGTGGCAGTACTTCTACAAAACATTCTGCTGCTCGTGGCTTGCAGCAGCCAGAAAGAACATCAAAATAGGGGACAAAAAGTTCAGCAGCCCCAGGTGGAGCTCGGAACATATATCTAGAGCCCATCTCCAGCCATCAAACAACCAGAATTAATAAGACTCACAAAATTCACTACGGTTTGTGAGACTTGAGAAAGATATGAGCGAGAGAAACCACATTCTGCAAATTTTGGATGCTGAAAGAGAAAACTGGTCAGTGAGACACAGCAAGGAGCAGATTTGAGATACGCCATTTGAGCTGGCAAAAGAAACTGACCACAGATTTATAAAGTTTAAACATGACATCCAATTTCCAGGCAATATATATTTGAAGATGGTAGTGATTACACTATCATTGTTTACCCAACTACTATACACTAGTGACTAACCTGCAAGAAAACCAACCGTACCTTGGGAGAATCCTGCTGCAGATAAGAAAGAGCAGCCCTCAACTCAGCCCAAAGGTAAAGGCTATGGAATAGGAGTAGGTGAAGTCCAGGTAACAAGAATACTGGTAACTTTCGAGCCCCAGCACAGACCACACAATGCCATCATCATCCCATCATTGGACTCAAACACCAGGGACCAAAGGCAGAGCCTGGATCCCACAGCAACCCGGAGCTGGAGCTGCTCCTGTCAGGTATTGTGCTGCAAAACAACCATTTGAAAACAAAGAAGTAGCAGGTACAGACGGGCTCTCCGCTGGAGCGGAGATCCAGCTAAAAACAGGTTTCCAAGGTAACCAAAGCCTCCACAGCAAAAAGTGCGGCCTCCCGCAGTCGGTGCTTTGGGCTGCAGACAGCTGCCCTGCCTCTCCGGCACAGCACCTCATGGGCCATTTCTCTCTTTAGTACCTATAAGCACGATTTTACCTCTTTCCCAGCCACAAGACTCCATGCAACCACCTCTCCTGGCCCTGCGGGGCCATGCTTGGAGCTGGGGTGCCTGGAAGCAGAGCAGCACAGCTCTGGATTTTCCCACAACAAGCAGCACAAAGCCTTGGATTTTTGTGCTGTGCCTCTCATGCTTTCTCCAGAATGCTGCAGAAAGGCCTATGGCAGCAGGGTGCCACACAGCAGGAAGGGAAACCACCGAACATCGAACGCAGTGAACATGAAAGCTTCTCATGGTGAGGAGACACTACTTCTAAAAGAAAGCATAACCATCATGCCTGCAGCAGAATGCACTGAGCAACAGGGAAAGCATCTGCTGCAATAACTTTGTTCACGTTTTCTTTTCCTGCTCCAGTTTGAAAGACAACAAGATATCACTGCTGCTTGAAATCAATCCTTGCACCTGAATTGCACCACTCACAGCTCAACCACACTGCTCCTTCCCTAAGGATGAGGCAGGGACACTGCATGTGTGAACTCAATGCTGGGCTGAGCACTGATCAGATCCTCTAGGTCCAGTCACTGTGGGTGCCACACAAATAAATACCCAACAGTTTGAGACCCTCACATTCCTAGAAAAGCTGTAGGGCTCTTAACGACATCAGTGCTCAAAGAACAACCAGTCTTCTGTGTCTGCACATTCTGCACCAGTCTCTCTGTTCAAGCTGCTCAAAGAAAGGAACAAGAACGCTGTGAACAGGAGTCCTTAAATCCGTGCCTACCTCTGTAGTCTCTGTAATGTGCTTGTTAAGGCAGACCCTGCACTGAAAACGAGGACAGCTGCACCCTGGAGTTTTCAGCATTAACAACCCTCAGATCCTGCTTCGGATGCCCAGTGCCCTTCAGAGACAATTACACACACCAAATAAACCCCTAGAGCAAAGGTCCAACTGGCCAGATGTCCCTCCGTCCCTCAGCTCCAGCAGAGCACCGGCACTGCTGCTCCTGAGCGAGCTGAAACCAAACCAGATGTGTCACTTCTTCCCTGCCGCAATAAGCTGCGTGTCCAATCTGCAGGCTGCCCTCTCACGCTAGCCAGGAAATCATCCATGTTTGTTCCCAATGGAGCAGCAGTTCAGTTTCTCAGCTGTGCAGACAGACAGAACTGCAGCCCTTGCTTCAGCTCAGCCACATTATCCAAATTTGTGTTCTAGGATTTAACAGTGATGGATTTGAGCAAGAGATCTATTTCAACACGAACTGGAAAACGGATTTTTATTTCTTTGTTTTTGTTCTGCAATGCCCTCATGTATCTTTATCTAAAGAAACCTGCCTTTGGCATCCCGTGCCAGGATACAATACACTAATTCTCAAAATCCATAATTTTACATTGCAACAGTGTCACTAGAACTCCTTCAGCAACAAAAGCTGCAGCAGGCTGTAGCTACACTAACCTAGCAGCAGCAGTTTGTATCTGCATGCAAACTTGTGACCTCTTCTGAGGACACTGGCTATGCTTCCCAGATCAGCCAGCAGAGAACAGAACCTTAAACACCTACATACACAGCCTCAAAAGGAAGTAGCTAAGGACTCAGAGTGGACACTTGAATTGGGCATGAAGCCATACGACTGGCTGAACTTCACAGTGGTGTAACTCATCCACATCATGTTTTAAGCAATTTTCCCTCCCAAGGATTATTATAGCCAAAGGATGAAAAATGAGATCACCAGCTTTTACAGATACCTTCCCAGCTTTTTAAACTGAAATGACTGCAGTGTAAAAGGTTCTTAACTCCTCTGCCATGCAGCTGTGTTTGAGCACCGACATTTTTCCTTATCAGCTCTTGCGGCCAGTCTGTCTGCTGGGCAGTGAGTGCTCCTGCTCAGTCATTTGCTGCCCTTCTGCAAGCCAACCCTCAGTAAGGAGGCTGCAGGCAAATGGCTTCTCTTCCTCCCTACTAGGAAGAAGGCAATTCTAGTTCTGGACAGATGCACTTCAGCCTCTCCTTCCCCTATTCCTCCTCCCACAGCAGACTTACCTTTTTTGCCCTGTAAGCCTAGTTTCAAACAGAAACGAATTCAGCTTTGGCATACCTGGGATTCACACAAAGTTTTTGTTCTCTTCAGTGTCTCAGTGTTCAGCATTTGGATCATGTGTAACGCAACAAGAGCGCAGGGACAGGTTAAGCAGAGAAAAGAGGAAGAAGTAGCATTGTCCCCTGAGAAAGTCAGAATGTAGCACAGACTGCCACTAGCAGCAGAAGGCTCTGATGTGCCATTGCACAACATAGCAAAGAGAATAGCCCTGAAAAACACATCAATGAGATCTTAGATGGGTTGAGCACAGTATGGAAGCCTCTGTTGCTGTGCTCCCAGGTCAAAAACCTTCTAATGGTGCATATAATGGCCCTCAACAAAGGAACAAAGGAAGAAAAAGAAGCTGTGAGAGCCCCCCAGAAGCTGCAGTGCAACATCAATTAATAGGTATCCTGTAACTGCACTAATATCCTCTAATTTCCTACCTTCAAAATCTTGGGACACAGTAGGAAGAGCAGTGATTTTCCCATTCTCTCTGGAACTTACCAACATACTATCAGTATATCTGATGTCTTGCTTTTAGCATTTCCACTCACGTTCCCCTTAGGGTGATCCACATCCACATGGCACTGCAGGGGAGCTGATAATGACAACTAGCCAGAAGTTCCCTGCTACAGATCTGTCCCTTCACATCTAAGCGGCTTGAAATCATCAAGCCACCACAAGCCGCAGCTGCACCAGGGCCGAGCAAAGGCTTAGTGTTCTGTCCCAAACAGCAGCCAACACCAAATGCCTGCTGAAGAGCAGAAGCCAATCAACGCTTTCTCAGCATATTCTTCCAGATTCCAAAAATCAGCACGACTCCCTTCACATCTTTGGGCAACTACAGCATACAGTATGGAAACAGACTCACACAACATGACAATACCTTAATCGTGAATGGGTCCAATCTCCTATTCTAGACTGAAAATCATTAGAGTTAAGCCTGGATAATCACACGTTCAAATTGTTTTCTCTGCGCTGCTACAAGGAACAAAAGAGACCATGGAACAGAGTAATCACCTGTAATAAGTGCCATATCTGATGAGAAATTCAGAAGCA